CCTGAGATAGTGTTCACAGGAACTGGAGGGACATGAGATGACAGTGACCTTGACCTTGACCTTTGACCACCAAAATCTAATTAGTTAAACCTTTGTGCAATTTGACGAAATTACCTCAAGGTGTTCCTGATGTATCATCTTCATGACAATTGAACAGACAAGCTGAAAACATAATGTCTCCGTGCGTAAATGGAAAATACGCTACCTTGCTGTATATGGACACTAACATTTCACCTGGAAATCAGTGTTGAACATCTAAATCCACACCACAGACATTAACCTGCTGCAACAGGAACCTCCTCTCATCTGGTCTCAGGACTTTTCGCCAGAGTTTCAAAGAGATTTGCTCCCATTTAATCACAAAAGCAGAAGTGAGGTCCAGCACCGATGTTGGGTTGATAAGGCCTGGCTCCTAATGAGTGTTCCAGTTCATCCTGAAATGCAGGATGGGGTGGGGTCATGGATCAGCACAGACTGTTTGTCTGTTTTTCTTTGGATCTGGCTTTGTGTAGAGGTGACTGACATTCTGAAACAGCAAATAGTTTTCTCTCTGCTTTTGCCACAAACTGAATGGAAGTGCCAGTTCCTAAAACATAAGTACTGTATCTGACTTACTGTACTTTAACTTCACCATAAAGAGTTGAGACCAAACAATAAAAAAACAGTCCCAGTCCAAGAGTGCACAAACGTACGCAGAATGTGGTGTCCACATACTTTTGGCCATTTACTGTATGTGATGAACCAATAATGGAGCCTCTTAAGCAAAGTGAAAATGGAGATAGACATGTAATATATACAGTACATAAATATATAAGAGATCAAATACATGAGTTTAAAATAAATTAAAATTAATGTGTAATGCTACATGAATAAATATATGTATAATAAGAGTGTTTCAGAAACCGGTCAGCAATCATCTAGAAAACAGGCTACAACATGCAACAACCCCGGTGAGCCTTGTTAAAAAACAGAGACCTCCATCGTTTACAGTGGGGTGGGCTGTAGAAAAGAAAGGAGGACACAAAAAAGAAACAAAAACTTGGGAGCATGTGTGTGGATTCATATTCATGGAGGATCAAAGTTTGCTCTTTTTAAACATGGCTGAATTATTCAGCAGCTTTTACTTCAGAAATACTTTTTTTTTTTTCAGAAGTGCACTGGGACACATAGACCAAGGCCACAGGCGTTACACTGTCTTAGGCTCGGTTAGTGACGTCTCTCGTGCATTCTGTGCCTTCACACACACATACACACCCATATACATTTCAGACCAAGAGACAGTTCAGGGAGAAACATGATCTGTGACCCTCGACCACTAATCAATTGTGGTGAAGAACAATAGAACCAATAATAATAAATCAGACCAGAACGTTTTTGATTCACTGACTGTAAACACTGAGACTGTGAGTGTGACGTGTGAACACCTGGAAACATGATCACACTGAAATCACTGAGCACATCCACAAATCTGACCAAAGAAAACATCAGTGGTAACGATTAAATGGACAAAGTTCACACAACAGGAAACAAAGTATTTGTTTTTACATGTCAGTTATTCATATATTTTGGAAAAACAAAATGTTAGATTTTTTTTTCAAGGAGCAAAACATGTTCTATCCTCAACACCAAAAAAGTTGTTTAGACATAAATTAAAAAGTTTGAACAAACAGAAACACAAACCTCCCTGAACATCACAGAGAAATCTGTGGTTTTGGCATTGCCAGCGAAGCTCTAAATACAGGTCCCGGAGAGAACCAAGAAAAAGCCCAGGAAACACAAGCCACTGAGGCAGCGCTGATCTTTGATGATCTGGTGTCAGAAATGGCCTTACAAGAAATGCTGCAGGAGACTATTGAACAAATCATCTCTCTGCAGTTAGAAGTCCCACTGGAACAGCAAGAATGGTTACAAGAAATATGGGAATGGCCACTGTATGATGAAGGAGAATGCAAGGAGATGAACAAGCCAGAGGAGGCTGAAAATCAGCTGTGTGAGCCAGAAGGAACTACACCAGTGACAGAATGTCTCAGTGCAGGAAGAGGAAGAGGAAGAAGAGGTTGTGGAGGAGTTGAACCCGCAGACTCCTGCCAGGAAGAAATGGAAGAGAATGCTGAATATCTGGTGGTAGATGAGTGGCAGGCAGAGTACGATGTTGAAAGAATGGAAGAAAACAGCAAAAGGTTTGCAAAACAAGACAAAATGGAAGAGGGCAAAATGCATGTTGGAGAAAAGATGATGGGCTGAACTGGGCCTGGAGTAAGAAGAGAGACAGCAAGAGAAGCTGGAAGAGGGAGAGAAATTATTAAAATGCTATGGCAACATGCATAAACTAAGAAATTAAGCCTTTAATAAGTAAGGATAATCATATGATTTATGTGTGTTTTGTTTGAAATAATTAGTGAATGTAAGAATAGAATGTGAAATGATTATATTGGAAAAAAACAAGTGATTTTATACCTAGAATTTAAACCCAAGGTGTGAAAAAGCTGAATCACAGAAAAAAAAA